TGCCAGCTGACTCATTAAATCTATTTTAAATTGAAAAAAATTCTTTACTAACATTAAATGAGATTTTGAAGAAAAGATAAAAATGTAGAGTCATATTTAAGCACTAATTATAGGGATAAAATTAGCAAATAAATATGAATTATTCTGAAAGTAACTTATATTGAGCACCAAAAAATACTTCTAAAAGTGATTTATATTATGGAGCAGGAGTATATTGTTTTCCAGAAAGTATATATATTAAATATGGTTTAAATTGAAAAATTGTTTCTCCAAAAAAAATTGAAAAGTTGTTTAATTTTAAAGAAAGGTTAATTAGGTTTAAAAAAATTTTTTTGCTTCCTTAAAATATGTTATAAATGACTTATAAATAACATAATACAAGTATCACGCAAGAGATTTCTTTTGGGCAAAAAAAAAAAACACACACGAGAGATTTCTTAAATTTTATATCAATCAATGCCCGTGACGAAGGTGACAAATTAATACATCAACCTCGTGAATATTTGCGTGTGTTGATTTAATTTCTCGTACCATGGATTATTGATGCCTTTTTCGTCACAACCAAACTTGGAGCCAAAACGTCTCTTTTACATTGGTCTAACGAAACTATCTCCAATTATTTGTTAATTAAGCACGTATTTAATAATTAATGTCATTATCATAGTGGCTAATTAATGGTCCTAATTATATGAGAAAAAAAGAGATGTTTCGGACAAGTAGCTAGACCCCACGAAGACTTACAATGTATCGTTCCAACATTTGTCGTCAGCTTTTGTCGCGAGGGGCTAATCATATGCCTTCTTGGGGAAACTATAAAGAAGGGCTCAGGTTCAACATTAATTATACTAAAATTCCTTAAAACTAATCCTTTTTTTAGATGATTATGAATTACTTATATTCTAGATTAATAGATTATAGATTAATTAATTATTAATAGAATAGATTAATTAATAGAGATATTATATTAAATCTGGCAAGCGGTAAGAAGAAAAAATCTCAAATTGTGTATTTGCGCGGAATCCTTGCTAATTTTTTATTCAACCGCTACAAGATCAACAATACCAAAAAATTTATCGTCCTAGTAATGCCTCTAAAAATAATTAGTAATAACAAGATATAAGTGACATCACTAAATTTTATTTATTAGTGTATATGGTTATTTTCTTAAAAAATATATATTAAATACAGATAAAATTAAAAAATTACTAAATTTTAAGAATTATTAATATGGTTACATGACTTGTTAACTGCATTATTAAAATTATAAAAATATTATTATTTCAATTTCTTAAAAAAATCTGTTGTTAATTGCTATATTGAATTTGTTAATAACGTTACAGAATTTGTTAATTGCTGAAATTGTGAAAATACAACTTTTTAAATTTCTCCATAAAACCTAGTGTTAATTGTTATATCAAACTTATTAATAGCGATAAAGAACTTGTCAGCTACGTTACTGAAGTTGTAAAGATCCAAAAATAAAAATAGTTGCCAACCACCAAAGCTCCAACAACCGGTCGTCAATTGCCTGCCAGAGCTCTAATGACGACAACCCACTTGAACTTTGACAACCACTATTGGCAACAGAGCTCTGACGACCTGCTAACCAGTGAGGGTGCGTGTAATTTTTTTTTAAAAAAAGATAATATAGTCATTTTAACAAATTTGCAAATTTCAATTTCGTCACTTATACCTAAATTGAAATTTTAGTTATTTAAGTGACTATTTGAGAATTTTGAAATTTTGGAACCATTTTTCTGTCATTTTTCCTATTGTTGCGGCTAAATTAATTTTTTTTACAATTAATAAATTTTGTTTGGAATGCTTTGTAGTTTTCTCTAAATTTGTTCAGTAGTGTTTCAAATGTATTCACAGGTAACTTGGAACTAGGTATATAGACGTCGGATATATGCTTATTATCTTTCTTGTTTGCTTCTGCAAAATATTATGTGGGTAAAGCTGAAGATTATGATTGTTCTTTGAATATATTTTAATCTGATCATGACTTAGTGTGAGAATACGTTTTATATAATAATAATAATTAGCCAATGGCAAAGTAAATCGTGGCCATATTATTTTATTAATCAGCGGACAAAAGACTATTTAGCAGATGGGGGTGGTGAGGTGGTCTTTTTCTTTGTTTATTTCTCTTTTTCTTTTGTCTGCACAAGAATGAGATCATCATTTAAGCATTATCTATTTATTTTAGTATTTGTGTGGCTTTGGATTATTCTCGTTGAAGTGTGTGTTTACACACACAACCCCCCCCCCCAAAAATCATCTCCAAAGTATAAGTTACTTTCATGAGTTTCAACCACTACATCAGAGTAAAAAAATAGGGTTAATTTTTCAATTTTGCCCGATTTAAATTTATCTCATCTCTATCTTTTTTTTTATATCTAATATGTAGTACCAATAAATAAAGATAAAATTGAAAAATGGTAATTAATAACTTGTGTTTTTTCTTGCTTACCATGATAATTAATAACTTCCTTGCCAGTCGTCATTCGGTGCTCATAACTGTAATACAATCTAGAATATCTAAAATCTTATATATATATATAGTTTATATTTAAAATTTTTAATATGCAATTTTTTAATAATAATTTTAGTTTTTATAGAAGTGTTAGTTATAAGATTATTTTTATTTTAAATTATGGATCTGTTAAAATAAAAAATTAATTAACATATATAAAAAAATTTAAATTCAATTTGGAGGATCTAAAATCAATTTGGATGGTCCAAATTGTAATGAGCACTCCATGCTCATTATTGCGATCAGCATGGAATGTGCTCCCCTTGCCAAGTAATTTATATTATGAACCAAAAATTTCTCTTAGAAAGGCATCCCATATTTCAGACGGAATGGTGAGAGAGACAGAGAGTGTGTGTATGTGACCCTTTGATTATTTGTTTTCTAATTAATTTATTTCTTATGCCTAATCAATAATCATGATGCAGAAAATTACAACTAAGTAAATATATATATATATATATATATATGCATCTAATCAATTTCGTTGAGTTGGTCAAGAGATAAGATGGAGTGATGTAGATTAACTATACATTAAGCTTAAATTAATTGGGGTAATCCTTTTTTATTTAATTGTGCCAGCTGTTGCATATCAAATTTTCACAAGGGCAATTAAAGTTTGCCCACGTGTTCAAATTATCCCTATACTCCCAACTCTTATCTCTATTGTAAGATATTTCCAAGTTCCAATCACTTCACCGGCATCAATGAGAGATAGCTAAGTAATTAAATTTTCTTTTGGTGAAAAATTATTAAATTTTCTTGAAAATAAAAAAAATCAAATTTAATCACATTTAAAATTATGAATTAAAGAAGTGAAAAATAAAAAAATCACTAGATCAAACTTTAATGGGAGTTAATTTTAGAAAACGTAATTAACATCTCACTTGATGAGTCACAATATAAGAATTCCTTTTAGAAAGTGCCAATAATATAGACCACACTGTTATCAATGTTTAATTTTTTAACTTTTTTTTCCCGATAAAAGGGATTGGGTATAATCATGTTGAAAATGTTTTCACGCAGACTTTTTCTTTTACTTTTATACGCCAAATCACACAATAAGTGGAAAACCGTGTTAGTTTTAAGTTTGAGTTAATAAGATGATTTGATATGATGATAGATATAAATGATAAAAAAATGGATGATAAAATCCCAATAATACTGAATTAAAAACCATAAACTAAATTTAAATACTTAAATGATTGGTGTAAAACTTGCAAGCTTTTGGTCCCTACTTATGTCTTGACAAAAAGGGTAAACAAGGACCACCAACTAAAAATAAGTGACCATGTCATATTGGCAAGTGTTTTATACATACATGCATATATATATATATATATATATATAAAGCTCACACACCATGTTGTTAATGATGTGATTATACGTTAAATTAAATTAATCGGTAATTAAAACTGTGATTAGTGCATGAAGTGCTAATGTAGGGGCATCTACCTTTACAACCAAAAGTAAGATATGAAAAAAAAAAGCTCAGGTTGGCTTCCTTTACAGTGAGAGCAACGTATCAGAGTTCATAAAAATGTTGGAAATCTAAATCTTGGAGCAATTGTCTTTCTAAACAAGATTCACAATTATATTTACCAGAATAGACCAGCAATATCTAATGCTATCCGATGTTTAATATTGGAGTTAGTTTGAGGTTACATTTAGTTCTAAATATAAAATCTCATTTTATCTCTTATATTTATTATTTTCCCCCAATTAATCTACCCAAACTTATAATATGATATATGATCCAATTTTGCATGAGGGTATTTTAGCAAAATCGTATCACATTTATTATAATTAATTAATTTAATTTTGTCAATCTAAGTATTTTTTTTATTTCTGTTAATCTAAGTATTTTTAACTCTTATGATCTCCAGATTTTCGTCTTAGTTTGGGCAAGAGGAAATGTGATGGTCATTTTCCTATAAAATATTGTCAAATATTGTGCTTAAATTTAACGGTTATTATGAATATAGCCAGCATGACCTTTTTTTTTATTATTCAACAAATATATATTTTTGGTTCATTTTTTGTTAAATTTTTTCTCATGTGGCAGCAGTCTTATTTTAACCTCATATCGTTAGTATCTATTTTTTAATTAAAAAAAATAAAACTCCAACTTTTGTAATAGTGATTGTCAATTAAACTTCTAATTAATAGCACTAGGGCAACTCATAAAAGCGCCTATTATTCATGTCAATATAGGTTGATAGGTTTGTTTTGTCTTTAATCACCTTTAACGAGGAACACGTACGTATAATAAGAAGCTTCCTCGTTATTATTGAACACGGAGAGCCCATAGATTTGTCATCGTTAGAGCAATTATGATCAAATGAGATATATATTCAATCAATCATATATTTTTGCTTCCAGTCTAATCTCTCACAACACGACAACACAAATTAAAAAGAAAATAATAAAACAAAAGAGAAAAATTAAAAAGAAAGGTAAAGAAAGCTACAAAACAAACATAATTCATTCATTCATTCGGACATAAACATTGTAAAACGTTCTGATTCTTTTTCTCTCAACTAGGTTATGTCTAAAAGGGGAAAAAACCACAGTGATGAAATAGACATTCAAAATTCTGAATTAATGCTTACAATTTCCCTCTCATAATTTTTTTCCCACAAAAAACAACATTAATACCTGTCCCATACGAATTGCTCATCAAGCCTTAAACCACTATCAACTACTGCACATAAATTCCAAGAAGAATATGAGCAGACTCCATTAATGTCCCCATCAGTGAACAGATCTGGAAGGTCAAACCATGTATCGTCGCCCTGATCAGGAACAGAACTTGAAGAGGAGGAGGAAGAAGAAGTAGCCTGCGCTTCCCGGCTTGGCTCGGCTCCTCCAGCTTCTGCCTCGGTGGCTTGACAGTGTTTGACCTCATCATGGATCATGATGGTGGTGGCCGCCGCCTTTGCAGCCGCGGCCTGGATGTCCTTGGGAGCCGAGCTGGCCGGGCGGGGAAGCCGGTGAGCCAGTTCTGGGAAATTGATGTAAGCCGACGGACCTTTGATGGCTAAAGCGGCTACATCATGAGCTCGAGCCGCCATTTCTGCAGTAGGATATGTTCCAAGCCATATTCTTGACTTCTTCCTGGGCTCACGAATCTCAGAAACCCATTTTCCCCAAGCTCTCATTCTCACACCTCTGTAAGTAGAACAATAATGCTTATTATTCCCTTCATCAGTACTATTATTATCATCACTCTCACTTCTCTCTCTCTTCTTCCATTTCTGATGCTTACCATTATTCATCAGATCACTTTCAGACTGATCACGTTGCAATTTCAAACCTGAAACTGTTGCTGATGCTGACGTTGAAGAAGAAGAAGATGGTGTGGAAGAGAAGTTCTTATCGCTTTCCATGGGAGAGTTCTGGAGAAAAAATGAGTGGGAAGGTGCACAAAAATGGAAGGATGGTTGGGCTTTGATGATTCTGTTGAAAAGAAAATGGATTAATTATATATATAAAGAAGAAAAAAAAAGAAAAAAAAAAGTAAAAGAAGAAAAAAAGTGGGGGAGGAGAAAGAGAAATATACATATATAAACAAGTATGGGCTGGCTCCATAAGGCTAATTTGTTTGCCATGTGAGAAATAATTAAATATATTAAATTAAGATTTGAGGTCCTTTTAATTTTGTGTATCTTTATATTCCACCTAAAGAATGCATATTTCTAGTCCTTCCTGCTGTCTTTTATTATTGACCAAATGACCATTTAAATTTATCATTGATATTAATTTTTTTAGTATATTATATTGAAATTCATTTATCGATTTAAGGAGTAATTTGTAAGTCTGCAGGTGACTCTTTAACTCATAAAATAAATTTTAATTCGATCTTAACAAGCACCCGAACCCCATCAAATTTTTTTAAAGCTTTTCTTATTAAAATTTTCTTTTTGATGTTGAATTATTATTCATTTGACGTCGGATTCACAATAAACTTTATGACTCGTCTTCATTTTTCCTTTAGAAAAATTTCTATTATTTATTTTTGATTCATTATTATTTGCTATTCGGTCACGTCTCATTCAACTTAGGTTTCAAAATGTAGTACAATGACATGGTATGAAACAGGATGTATCAAAACCAATACAACAACTTTTTTTTCTTGGACATAATTGGATCAAATATTTATGTATAATAATGTATTTCTTTTTTTTGGGGTTTCCCTTTTTCAAATTCATATATATTATATATAGAGTTGAGTCTCATTTATTTTAAGAGCTAGGTCCTCTTTTTTAGAGGGATATTTAAGTGGTAGGGCCATGCTTTTCCAAACCACGAGTTTCACATTATTGGAGCTAATGAATATCCATGACTCTATGATTCCGCACTTCCATTGCATTTAGTGGGTAAATGGCCAACAGGGTCCACACAAAATTATTTACTGATGAATCTAATTAAATTCTTGTTGTTAAAAATAATAACGTTTCAAGTAGTGAACTTTTTTTATATAAATTTTAGAGTATATATTGGCATATTGATATTGATAATGCATTATTATTCTTTTCTTATATTTATTCTATGAAATGTGAAGATAAATCCAATTAATGATGGCTTATCATAACAAGGTACTGAAAACCCAATTGGTGATTAAATTAGTCGAGTCGAGACAATGATATACAAAAATAAATCAGTAGTTTAATCATGATTGAATTGGAACCAACTCAACCATAATTAAAACAATAAAATTTAATTAAAATATGCAAAAAAATTCGTATATAACTTTGAAATTTGTAATATTTAAATAAAAAAGGCATTAATCTACAAGTAAATGGAATATTCATGTATAAACCAGATACAACCCAACTAAATATTCATTAATCACTACAAAAAAAAACAAACTTTAGGCGACAACCATAGAATGTCACCGCTGAAAGTATACCTTTGAGTGGAAAGTGATGTAATCATTGGGTTCACTTTCAGTGACGACTATTAGTGTCGTTGCTGAAGGTCTGACTTTCAGCAGCGACTTTATAATATTGCCACTTAAAGTGTAATATAATAATATATATTTTATTTTACAATAATAATAAACAAATTCAATCTGGCTCAGGAGCAAGAAGATTGGACATGAAAGGAGATGGTCACAAGTTCGAACCTTGAAGAAGATACATTTAAGGTGAAAATATTTGGATGATGACGTGGCAGGGAGGAGTGATGTGGCAATGACGTGGAGGTGGCTAGTGATGACGTGGCACCTGGTCAATGATGAGGTGGAGGTGGCTAGTGATGACGTGGCAGCCGGTGGTGATGACGTGGTGTTGGTAAAGCCAAGTGACAAAAAGTCACCACCGAACTGAAACTCCTAAAAGTCGTCGCTGAAAGTGTCTTTCAGCGGTGACCTTTTTAGTCACCACTGAAAGTTTTCAGCCACGACTATTAGTCGCCGCTGAAAGTCAATTTTTTTAGTAGTGAATTCACAAGTCACTAGAGTACAAACCTAATAGACTGAATTTTTTTTTTTAAAACTCAAAATGATGTTATTTCAAGCTCAACAAAAGGAAAAAAAAAATATAAGACTCAACACGGTCGATCTATGAAAAGCTTTTGACCGAACTGACCATGAAACTGATTCACCAGTTCATTTGTTTGATCAATCGGTTCTAGTTGGGTTTTAATAATATACTAATGAACAATATGACATTGTGAACAGTATAACTTGGTTTAAATTTCATTATTTATATTGATGTATTAACATATACTTTTGGGAAGAGACGTGATATTAAATTTACCAATTATGTTTTACCAAACATATTTGTACTTTTTAAGTTAACATGATCAAAATGAACTAACGATGGTTGGTTCAATGGGATGAAACTCAAACCCTTAAGCAAGGTGAAAAATTCAAACCTTATGGATGGACAGAATCACGTTGAAAAGGTTACACTCAATTAAACCTGATATATAATACTTTCCAATATAAACCTTTTTTACAAAATTAAATAATTTATCCGTTAATTATCAACCTCATCATAAAAAATATAAATATAAAAAATAAGTAACCAACCCTATTGTTCATAAATCATGACCAATAGAACTCCTAATGAAGTTGTAATATTGAAGGACTTAATTAATTATCTGACTCACAATTTATAGTAAGGCCGTATAAAATGATTTAATATTGGTGTCAGTGTGTAGATTGGTTATAATTTTTTGTTCATTTAAGGGCATATATGTAAATTTATCACAGTGAGTTTGCTTACCATATAAATAGTATAAAGAATTGAAAACCCTTTAATTTAATTTGAAAATCCAAAATAATAAATAAAACACGAGATTGTTGGCAAGTCGTCTTCAACTTGTAACATTTATAAATACGTACTTATGGACTGATCTGCGTCAAACTATTCCTTCTTCAGAGTGACCTCATATCAAAGTACTAATTAATTAAAGCAAAAGAAAAAAAATTAAAGGTGAGCAACATGCTTTGCCCAAAAAATGATATTAGTTATATCATATTTATTATTATAACTAAGCTATAATTAAATGCTCGAATTAATTTACAGATACATATCATTATGAGTCTCCATTAGAAGGTCTTATAAGTCCAGTATGATTTTTGAGTTCAAAAGACTAATTTTTTGGGATGGACTCCACCTCTAAATTTGTGCTTCTAACATAGATATTAAATAATTTTTAATTTTTTGTTACAGAAAAGGATTTCAACTATGTTCAGCTACAATTTCTGTTTTTGCCACTAGAGAAAATAAAATTTAATTTTAATTATAGAATTGCTTTGAGATGCTCAGAAGAATGTTTGAGTATTTTAATTTTTGCTTAGAAAAAATCTCTATACTTTTTAAATAACAATGTATGATAGTAATAAAATTTGTAAAATAGTTGTATTAATTTTAAAATGAAAATTATATACAACTTTTAATAAAATTCCCAAAAAAAAAATTCCTTCTAATTTATTCAAGCTCACAATATTTTAAATCAATCAATCTCAACATCAATCTATAAATCAATAAAAAATATTAATATAATTCATAAACCATAGAGATTATTATTTTTATTAATTAAAAATTAGATTCGTACACTGAACAACGACTCACCTATATAAAATATGAAACGTGTAACAAAATTTTTTGCTCAAAAGTCAAATAATACAGTCTATTTTTTTTTTCAAATTTTTGTGAATTTTCTCTAGTTGCAACTGGAAATTGGAAATGTATTCTATTACTCTAATTTAAAAGATATTATTTTTTTAAAAAGAAATCCGTCTAATTTCTTGGCTTCAACATACCTAAGTAACTTCAAAATGTAAATTTTTATTATAAATGCGTTTTATTATAATTTAGAAATTCTGAAGACTTAAAGAGCACACAAAGCCAACGAAACAATCAAAGGAGGACTGTAGTCTCATGGAACAACTGGATTGCCAATTTGCGATTATTTCTCCCCCGGCGATTCCTCCACGTGGGCTTTGGTCCCGATGAGATACGGAACAAGACAACCAAAGAAACATGAAGTTATTATACTTGGTGAGATCCACTATATAAGTGCGCATGAACTTTTTTTTTTGGGTAGAAACCAGATGGTATCCCCTGGCCAATAGCCAGAAACTAATCTTCCCGGGATATAGAGATCACCGAAGTGGGTTTTGCTTCTCCCAACAAAACCTTTTCCATGCACACGGCCTGGTTCAAACCCAGGACATCATGTTTAAGGGACCTAGCCATCTACCAACTGTGCCAGGCTTTGTTGGTAAGTGCGCATGAACTTAAATTTTAGACAAGAATTAATTGAGTTAGTTATTTTTTTCAAAAACAGATATGCATTGTTTTTCTAAAACGTCTCCTTTAATCATTTGTAATTTATAATAGAAATAATCAAACATGTTGCTCCCCAAAACCGGTTTAGAGACTCATCTTTAAGATGAGCATTCAAAACTGATCCCAACTTTTCATATTTGATTTTTTATTATATTGAAATAATTATTTTAATGAGTATAAAATCTGAAATAAAGATAATATCTTGTCTATCGCTTTTTAAAATGTAGTTTTATTTAAAAATAACTAATTAAAGTTATTAAATGTGGACCATCCAGATATGCTTTGGACGGTTCAGATGGATGAACTTTGGGTGTTCATCTTAAAAATGAGCGCTTAAACCAGTTCCATTACTCCCCTCCTATACTCTAAAACTAAGTAACTAATTTATTTATAAAGATGTATTAGTTTTCTTAATATATCCGCTTAATTATCTGCAACAAAAACTACTTTTGCCAGCCATATGTGCAATCAATCAATAAGGATATTTTAAAAATAAATTATAAAATTAAAGTTTTATATTCATGACTAAAGCAAACTTTTCAGCCACTCTTATATTTGGGACCGAAAAGTATGTATTTTATTTGTTTGAAGAGAAATAATTTTGTTTAATTTTTTTGGTCAAAGAAACATTTGTTTATAGCGTATACTGCACTTATATAATTTCATTATTAA